CTATCTATCTATCTATCTATCTATCTATCTATCTATCTATCTATCTACCTACCTATCTATATTTAACTGGTGAAACGGGCAAAAATAAAGTGAACTTATTTTAAATAACAAAGATTTGGGGACTGGATGATGGCTCAGTTGGTTACAAGCACTGGCTGCTCTTGCAGAGGACACAGGTTCAGTTCCAACACCTGCACGGTGGTTCACAATCACTTCACTTGTAATTCCAGTTCCAGAGGATCTTGATGTCCTTTTCTGGCCTCTGTGTGTACTGTAACCACATGGTGCACATACCTACATGCAGGCAAACACTGATACACATAAGATAAATAAATCTTAACAAAGATTTGGAAGAGTGAGGGAGCTTACTTGTGCTTGTCTGATGAAGGCACAGACTGCTATAGTCTCTTTGGAGATAACTGATCAGTGTATCTGTCTAAATTTTAAATTGCAACTTTTTCCCCCCCAAGAACAAGGGACTGGCTGTACAAGTTGAGTCTCAATTGTTCACGTAAGATTTGAGCGGGACTATGAGAAGGGCTGAAACTGCAATGCTGTCCCTGCTCTGTCCTTTCAGGGCTGCAGGGGTGCGGCTGATCCGTGAGATGTGCCAGGAGGATCTGCATGCAGTGGTGAAGAGCTGCTTTGCACTGGTCAACAGCTCAGTCTCTGAGGGCATGTCAGCCGCCATCTTGGAGGTAACCACAGCTTGAGAATGCCCAGGATGGGGTACCAGATTGTTTTCTTTCTTCTTTGCTTTCCTAAAGATTCATTTTAAATTACGTGTATGCACGTGTGTCTCTGTGGGAGAATGTACAAGTGAGAGCAGTTGCTGGTGAAACCAGAAGAGGGCGTCCAGACACCCTAGAGCTGGAGTTGCAGGTGGTTGTGAGCCGCCCCATGTGAGAGTGGATTTGCATCAGCTGGCAAAGAAGCCAGCTCTACCTGTGCTCTGTGTCAGTCCCAGTTGGGTGTTCAGCCCCAACCCCTCAGGCAGTCTGTCCCCTCAGCAGCTAACTTTGAAGCCAGGGTAGAGAAAGTGCCCAATTGCTCTTCTACACGTACATACACATACCCCTCCCCCCTCCTATTTCTTAAGAGCAGGTCGAGCCCCTGGAGTCTGCTGAGTGGTTTTATAAGCAGCAAACCCAGCTCTCTGTGGAGTGAGGAACTGCTGTGGGACTTGGCTTACCTCACGGGAAAGGCAGCTGCTACCAATTCTGATGCCATTGAAATGTTGATGTGGCCGCTGGCTCCTTTGAGAAGTCAAAATAACCTTTGGGCGAAGTTGAATGAAGTTGAATTGTAAGCGTGCCTCTCTAGAGTCACTTCAGATGGCCAGTGTGTTAATCAGAGCACACGCCCATCACTGGTCCCTGGAAAGTGAACATTTGACCTTTCTGAATCTGCTTTCCTGAGCAGACACGTACAGTTGCCCATGGGCTAAAATACATGCTTCTCACTGAACACTCAAAAGCAAAAACTCAAAAGGCAAGAGCAAATCTCAGCCGGATGCACAACCACTGGCTGATTATTGCTAAAAGCCTGCCAGGCCTTTCCTATTCAAGCATATTGTTTGAGCCCCCACACAGAATAACCTTCAAAGAGGGGGATGGGAAAATGGCTCAGGCAGTAAAGTGCTTGCTGTGCAGCGTCCAATCCCCAGGACCCCTAGGGAAGGACAGGCATGGCTGCTTGTGAGTGTAAACCCAGTGCTGGAGGAGGTGGAGGGGGGAGACAGGCAGACTCCTGGAGCTCGCTGGACACTCAGCCTAATAGAGTCTGTGAGCTGCAAGTCAGTGAGAGACCCTGCCTCAGAAAACAAGTTGAACAGTTTCTGAGGAATGTCAATCCCAAGTTTTCCTCTGTCTTCTCTTATGCCCAAGTCTCTTCGACCCCAAAGACCACCAAGGAGTGTTCTGCCCAGTTCACGAACCCCAAAAGACGAGGAATAAATGGACTCCACTGTAAATACATGAGGTTCTTTTTATTACAAATTACAAGCTGCAGCTTGGGCCTACACTTTCCCATTCTTGTGGTTACCTCCAGGCTATTCTGTGGGTAGGAAATTCTATTATCTTCTTTCTGAAATTGGTGACCTATGGCCTAGTTCCTGGTGACTTTGGGGCGGGGTTCAGGACTGATTCTCTCACTTCTACACACCCTACACATACCCTAGCACACAAAAAGGGTGTAAAGGGCTGCCCTTCTTATCCCTGCACCCAACATAGGTGTAGTCGCACACAGACAAAACCTCTGGGGCAGGTTTTGCCACCTGGGCAGAAGAAGGACTGTGATCTAAAGCTAAGGGAAAGAAGGAGAACGTTTGACCATAGCCAATAGTGCTAGCTCTAGTGACTGGAGAACCTTCTCCAGTCACTTGAAGGACCCTGTAATAGGGTTTCAAAACACTGGCGCCATTTTGGTGCGAAAGTGTATATTTGAGAAGGAAAGAGAGAGGGAAAATGAGAGAGGGGAAAAAGGGAGAGAGATACTGATTTTCTGTTGGTACACAGGGCAGAACCATTCTGTATTCTTTTGAAAAGCCAATGCTATTTTTAAATGTCAGGACTAGAAGATCTGATAAGGGCATTCATTTGGGGTGTGGAAACTGCCAGGGGTGAGGAATTTTGCAAGGGGGCAGATAGTCTTTTGCATAGAAGAGCTGTACCACCGGCCACTGACCAGCCTCACTGAAAATGCTCCCTACTTAGTTCTGTGAGTTTGTATGAACACCCTCAGATCAAATCATCTCCCCTCCCCCCACTAGTGGTGATCCCTCAGAATATCTTAACCACAAAGTCCAAGCCAATCATTCTTCAAGAAAATACAGATAGGGTGGTGTTTAGCCTCAGGCATGACCCAGGACTGCCTGCCTGCAAGCCTCATAAGCTACACACACGGGTGAGCCATGCATCCCTCCAGCCGGGGTATTCTTTTTTATGGGGTGCATATTCCAGTGGCTGAGTTTCTTATGACTTCTCAGCAATGAGAAGTTCTGGCTGGGTGGCAGAGGCAGGAGCATCTCTGTGAATTTAAGGCTAGCATGGCCTGCAGAGCTAGTTCCAGGACAGCCAGAGCACAGAGACACCTTGTCTCACCCCTCCTCTCCCCAATAAACCAGTCTCTGTAAACCCCAGGCAGCTCTAATAAGGATTGGGGGCTGGCTGCAGGGATGTTACAGAACAGTCCAAAAGGGACCTGTTCACCCACAAGAGGAGGTTAAGCTGGTCTAGGGAGGCCAAGTGGGTCTGTTTTTGGAAGGGAAGCGTGTGTCTTGTATCCTGGCATTTTGTGTGTCTGTCCCAAGTGCCAGGCTTACCCCCTCCTCTGTCTTTCCCTGCTTGCTCTGTGAATTTGCTCTGAACGCAAGCATGCCTATTTCCAAACACTGTCTAGCGCATGGCTTTGCCAGCTGCTGCACTATTGGGGCCAGCTTCTCAGTATGTTCATATTCTTGGAGCTTGTCTGTGCTCAGAATGTGCCATTTTAAAAAGGGGTTTATTTTTATTTTCAATAATATGTGCTCATGTGGGGTATGTGCTCATGTGTGGGAGCGTCCATAGTTACCTGAAGAGGACGCTGGAGCTTCTGGATCTGGAGTCACAGGTGGTTGTGGGCTGTCCAGCTTCGGTGCTGGGAACCAAACTCTAACCCTTTGCAAGAGCAGCAAGCACAAGTGACCCCTGAGTCATCTCCTCAGCCCCATCCTTCTTAGTTTCTGAGCTAGGGTCTTTCACAACCCGGAGCCTGACAGTTAGGTTAGACTGGCTAGCCAGTAAGCCCCAGGGATCCCCATGTCTTGGTACCCCCAGCCCCACACCCAGTATTCAGATTGCAGATATGCACCACATACCTGGCTATGTCTGTGTTTTTCACGTGAATCCTAGGAGATGGAACTCAGGTCCTCTTGACTGCAGGGCAAGCACTTTACCACCCAAGCCATTTTCCAGCACACTTGCCTGGCTCTTAGATGACACCCTCATCTTTACTTCTCCCGTCTTCACAGGCAATGGATTTGGAAGTTCCGGTATTAGCCAGGAACATCCCTGGGAACTCGGCCGTGGTGGAGCACGGAGTCACAGGTCTGCTGTTTTCAAACCCTCAGGTAAAGGATCCTTTCCCCACGTTTGCCTCAGTGTGGTTTCTGTCTATTTGTATAAAGAATGCCCGCGAGTCTGGGGTCCTTGTAAGCCTCCCAGCTCCTGGTGGAGATAGCACGCTCTGTGGTTCTGTTCTCAACTTGGAGGGACACCCAGCGTCTAGAATCCCAGGGTACTTCTGACTTGAAGATTGTAGCTCAGTTTGCTGAATGCCTGCTTGACATGCATAAGCCGGGCGTGGCAGTGCATACCTGTCACAGAACATTCAGGGGGTAAAAGCAGGAGGATCATAAATTTAAAGTCAACCTCTGCTGCATAGCTAGTTCAAGACCAGCCTGAGCTACATGAGACCATGTCTGAAAAAAGTTAAAAAACAGACAGACAAAACACAAATGCTCAAGGACTTTGCCAGCAAGTGTTCTCCTAAGTGGCTGTCTGTGGTCAGATACAGTAGAAGAGAAGGGCCTCCAGCCTCCAGGTACCTTGTGACATGATATGCATTCTGGGGACTGGAGGCACAGCTTCCTGCCTATCTTATGTGCCGGTCCTCTCAGGTCTCTCAGATGAGTACCAGCCACTATGAGTTATAGACACAGTCTCTGTGTCTTTGTGTCCACTCTTCCCCCTTCCCTCCCCCCAGTCCTGTCACAGTAGAACTTAGCTTACTCGCAGATGTATTTCAACCCAGCGTCTTCGTGTGGGCCTTACCAAAGGATGTTTAGAACAGCACCCCATCCCGGTTCTGTGCAGGAAGAGTTGCGATTCTTCACACTCTGAAATAGTGGCGAGAGACACGGATGTTACACTTACTTTGTTTTCTTCATCATCTCTATCAGACCGTACCCAGTGCGTGGTGGGATGGGTTGCTCTAAAAACAAAGAATGCAAGTTTTTTTTAAAAAAATGTCCAGGCTGGCATTTGTTTTCATCTCAACCGTGGAACTTGGCTTGGCCTCAGGGAGGGCAAGAGTGATTTCGAATCTGCATTCAAATGTGTGTGAGAATCAGCATTTCATTTATTAAGAAGAACCAGCCTGTCAGACCGCCAGCTTTGGGAGTTAAAATATGTATATGCAGTGCGGAGGACATAAATAATATGTAAGCATAAATGCTCTTTGAATTCAAGCTAAATATAGCTACTCATTCTGCATTAGTTGTTGTTCCTTAATTGAGAATAGAAAGAAACAGATCTTCCCATGTAGGGCTGGAGATAAAAAAAAAAAAACTGAAGAGTTAAGAGGGACTGGGAGGGTAGTGCCTGTATAAAGGGGTGGGGTACGTGGCCAAGAACCTTGGGCAGTCTGGGAGCTCGGTGAATGGACAGCATCAGAAAGGGGTCTTGGTTTGTGGACCATAATCATTGAATTCACCAGGTGCCTTGTGAGCTTGAGGGTGGAGAGGGGCAAGAGAAACCCACGGACTGTGCAGCACAGCTGGGACTGAATATCAAAGATCGTGGTTGTATTGACCATCAGGAAGAGGACCATTTCACATGCTGGGATGTAGCCCAGTTGGTACAGTGACAGCCTAGCATACATGAAACTCTGGATTCAGGTACCAGCATTGTATGAAACAGGACATGGCAGTGAACGTCTATGAATCTGGCATTTGGGAGGATGAAGAGGTCAAGTTCATCCTTGGGGACAGCTGTGCAGTACAGGGTGCTCAGCCACTGGTTTTGGTTGTGGCCACCTCTCTGTCTCCAGCCTTTTTCTTGGCCCCCTTTAGAGTACCCATCCCTTCAGAGTGACTTCCTGCTTCTGAGAGATGGAGATTTGATGCTCTTTTTTAGGATTTGGGCCTCTGCATTTTTCAGTTCTCCGGTACCTGAGACAGAACTTGCCCCTAAGCCCTTGTTCTTTGACAATGAATGGTAAAACCCAGAACCTGTCCAGTGTTGCTCCTTCCCCCCTCGCCCATTCTGTGACAGCTGCTTGCAGGTGGTTAGAGAGGAATCTGGAAGAAAAGGGCTGTTTTGTTTTCTATTGCTGTCATAAATACCATTACCAAATGTAACTTGGGGAGAAGATTTTATGTGGCTTACACATCCCAGTCACAGTCTGTCATTAAAGGAATTCAGAGCACTGACTCAAGCAGGAGCAGGAGCTGGAGCGCTGCTAAGTGGCCTGCCCCCATCGTTTGCTCTTCTTTCCTATACAACCCAGGACCACAACCCAGGGGATGGCACCACCCAAAGTGGGCTGCTCCCTCCCACACTGATCTTCACAGGCTTGTCCACAGGCCAATCTGATGGAGACAAGTCCTCTATGGAGGTTCTGTCTTCCCAGGTAACTCTAGTTTGGGTGACAAAAACTAAGCAGCTCAGGGCTCTTGCTTTGGGGACCTTATGGAGCCTACTGAATCATCTATATCTCTATCTGTGTATCTATGTCTGTATCTGTGTCTTCAGCTATCTCTATATCTATCTACATTTAATGTCCATATCTAATATATATGTATTTCTAATATTTATACATATATATACAATTTTTTATCTAAAGAGTTGATGACTAAACATATTTCACTGTTGTAGGGACAGAATAATCTGTTTTTGTATACTTCACCTCTGGAAAATTTCAATTTAACCGAAGCTTTCCAAACCCACTCAGCATTGATTTCTCATTACCTCAACAATCTGGTTATTTCTCCATTTAAGAGGAAGGAAAGAGTCTAGCAACTTTGTGAGGTGTTTTTATAGCTTAGTTTTATAGCTTCAAAATTAAGATCCATACGACATTTAATAGAAGCTGTGAATTCATATTCTGCCAGGGTTGAGCTCTTCAAGGGTAGCTCACGCTTATCTGCCTGGAGGTTTTCTGTTTGTTCTTTAAACAACTGTGGAGAAATAAATTTTGGAATATCAATGGTAGCATTTGGCTAATATTTATAAAGAGCATGCTGTATTCCAGCTCCTAATCTTAATGGTCAATATTGCTTATGTTTTTCTTCCTTTTTCTTCTTTTTCTTTCTTTCTTTCTTTCTTTCTTTCTTTCTTTCTTTCTTTCTTTCTTTCTTTCTTTCTTTCTTTCTTTCTTTCTTTCTTCTCTTCTTTTTGACAGGGTTTCCCTGTGTAGCCCTGGCCATCCTGAAGCCTGTTTTGTATACCAGGCTGGCCTTGAACTCAGAGATCTGCTTCTGCCTCCCAAGAGCTGAGATTAAAATCATGAGCCACCCACTGTCCAGCCACCTTATGTTTTCTTAAAGATACATTTTTTTTTTCTTTTTTGAGACAATGTCTATGTAGCCCAGGCTGTTCTCAAACTCACTATAGAACCAAGCATGACCTTGAATATCTGATCCTCCTGCCCTCCCCACCCTAGTCTACCCAGTGCAGATGATATAGGTGGACATCACCACACTGACTGTATGCGGTGCTGGGGATCAGACCCAGGGTTTCGTGAATGCACTCTGCCCACTGAGCTACATGCTTGTCTTAAGGCTGGTGTCTTTCTTAAAGACAACATCTTTAAGCAGAGATGGCTTGATTGTGTTTGGGGAAAGCAAGGCACTCTGGGAAATACCAGTCTCAAACTTGTGTCCAGACTGGGAGTTAGCAGTGCTCAGGGGTCTTGTTCCCATGCGAAATCCACAATGGCTTGCAGGCACTTTCTGTTGCATGCTGCTCCTTCATCCAGAAGATGGAGGTAAGACTCTCCTTTTTCGGAAGTAGCAAATGCAGTGCCAAGTGCCTCGAAGGAGATTTTGAATAATCGAATCTAGAAAGTACCAGTTTTCACATTTAAATTTAGAGCCAGCAAGATCGCTCAATGATAAAGGCACTCACCATTGAGCCTGAAGATTTGAGTGTTATCCCTGAGACCTAAATCATGGGAGGAGAGAGCTGACTACTGCAAGCTGTCTTCTGACTTCTTCATGACTTTTTTCCTTTTATTTATTTTTTAATTTATTATAATTTTTTCACTTTGTATCCCAGCTGTAACCCCCTCCCTTGTCCCCTTCCAATCCCACCCTCCCTTCCTCTTCTCCTTTATGCCCCTCCACATGCTTCTTTTAATCTTTAAAAAAGAAATATAGGGGTACAAAAATAAACAGAAGTTAGTTAAGCAGTCACTAAGCATCTAGTTTCCTAGCTCCGTGCATTTGGATGCTCAAATGTCCCAGTAGGAGTAGGCCAGGACTCCAGTGTTGGACAGAGGTGGCCTGGGCCTTGTCTGGCCTTGTGAGAGGAGTCTCCCCTAGCCTGTTGGTGTGGTGTGCAGGTACCATAAAGGGTTAGCTCTGTGAATCCTGACAGCTACACTACCATGAGAGGATTGAGGGAGTGTGCTCCAGGCACTAAAGTCCTGCAAAAAGCCCAACCCAGGTGAGAGAGGCAAGAATGCACACATGCGTGCCCCCCTCCCTCAGCCTCCTTCCACCCTGCATAAATGCTGATGGTTGCTCTCATGTCCTTCAGTCTGTTTGGCCCTGTCCTCCCTCCCTCCCTCCCTCCCCCCCTCCCTCCCTCCCTTCCTCCTGCTCTCCTTTTGAGAGGAGTTCTGCCACTTTCCCAGCTAGCAGTCCCCCACAGTGGACTCTCCCCCTTACTCATCCTGGTTCATCAGGAGAATGGACCTTTCCGGTCTGAGGCCCACACCTGCCCTTTGCTGGAGACAGATGGCACAGTCTGGCAGAAGGGAAGCCCCTAGTGATCCATGGAGCCTGCGCCTGACGAATGTGGCTGGATGGAAAGAGCCACCAGATGGGGCTCATGCCTCAGGAAAAATGGAAGCTGCACCCGGGGCTAGCTCAAGCCTGAACCTCAACATCACCTGGTCGTGGTGTGAGCCTGGGTACCAAGGCACTGGGGGAAACATCAGGAGAATCCTGCTTGTCAATAATTCTCCCAAAATATGAAGCAGATGAGGAACACGGTTCCTTCAGTGAGCTCCACAGTGTCTCCACCATTACAGCTTCTGTATAGTGAGTCACCTACCTACTTGCAGAGTTTGCCTCTGTGTTGCTGCAAAAACAAAGATGAGTTAGAGATGGGCTTGCAACCCAGA